TTTACTTTAACTAAATTTGTTATTTAAGTAAGGAGTTTCTCAAATTGGTAGTTGGACTGAGAAGAGTGCGATACACAAAAGAAAAAAAAACAAACCCAAAAGGGCTTTTCTATACTGGGAGACAGTGATATAACAATTGGTAGCACTTATGCTCTGCCTTGTAGGATGACAAAGGACACAGGCCTAGGTTTATTCAGTTTCATTGCATGCACACATCCAAGAGGGTGGCACTATGACGACAGCATTCTGCATTTCATACCTTCCCTGTGATCTTGAATCAGTCAGAGAAATTCACAGGCAATTCTTTGCTTTGATTTGCAAACAATTGGTGAGATCATAAATTGGGAGTTTTTCAGAAGTAGACCAGAACTAACCTTATTGTTCAAGTCTTTCTGGGCTTCGAATGACAGGGCTTGGTCATTCTCTCGGGTCAGCATGTTGGGTGCCACACAGATAGCTAGATTGCTGGCGTCCATTTTGTTGACCTCGGAGTTTTTGCTGATCAGGTACAGCACTGAGACCAGGTTCTTCAGCAGCAGGTGGTTGGGCCGTGGGAGCTTATCTGCAACCCTGGAATGAAAATTCAGGGAAGTTAGCTCCAGAGACTGTTTTTTTTCTAGCTTGAGTGTAACAAGTTGAAACTTTCTGGCTAACCCAGACTTCCTTTAAAATGAGGAAGGTGCATTTTCACAAGTAACGTTGTGAAATATTCATTCGCACACTTCCAATAGCAACTGAAACCGAATGAAACTGGTTAACCACGAGATCTTGAAGACCAAAGTACTGGCCTTCACAATTAGAACACCAGAAACACAACCGACCCTTCATTATTTATATAGATCTTAAATCATGAAGCGGTAGCTCCTGCAATAAACCCCATAGTTTAATGTTTTGAAAACTGTTTTGTTGAGTAATCATTTAGCCATGTAGAATGTTTTTCTGTTTCTGACACTACAAGACTATTCTTTTTGAAAACAATTGTTTGCCTTTTTCTGAACTGTGATTGTCAAACAAAGATGACACATTTTCATATCATTCCAAGAAATCTTTATGGAGAATAAATCAGTTTATAAGGGCCTGTTCATAAATATGATCAAGGTAGCATTTAAATGGCAGCCTTGTTACTAACAAATAATAAATTAGATTTTCAAAGCCTTACTTTTTTCAATAAACAACATGATAACTCTAATAGAGGGATCATTTTCATTTTTCACAAGAAGTTATTGTTATGAAAGAGCTTTATGTCTTTGAGTAGAAATCGATGTTCATTTTTGGATACTCTAATGTCTTCAATTCTACAAATATTTCAGTGAAAATATTTAGCCATGTGGTACAATCATGATATATAGGCAGACTTTCAAAGGATTTGGCAAAAGTTAGGCATTTTTATTTTAAAGTTAGACATTTAAGATTCTCTAGTTACTGACAGGTCACACTTTCATTTACATATGTAATTATTTCTGCTGTCACTGGAATTTGTTTTTATATAGTTTTCATTTTGGTTAATTATAAGAGTATGAAACGTGTTATGGAATTTTATAAACAAAATAATCCCTTGCAGATTGTTCTATTATACTTCAAGGGCTATTTTATGGGAGAATTGGTGGCCGTACACCAATCTTTGTAGATTAAGGATACCCCAGATTCCTACACTTTGCTGTGTAGCCTATTTTGAAGCTTCCATCTATGACTCTTTGTCTCAAAATTTCTTGAATGACTTATATTTTTAGACTCCCCCACCTCTTGTGATTTGTACTGACGTTCACTTTCTACCATTTGAATAAGTACTTCCTTTCTTTTGGCTAAAATGTTTCTTGTACATGTCCAGGGTAACTCCTGATTTTTATTCTGGGAGTCGATGAACAACTCCACTCTGATCCCCTAAACATTACAATTTTCATGAAACGCTCTGACAGTGACATAACAGATGATAAGATGGAGCCCACGTGGGCTTGGCCTCTGGGAAGGACTCTGAGGACTTACTGTTTCAGGGCCTCTATTTTGTCCTCCTCGCTTTGCTTCTCCAGGGCACTCATCCAGTCGTCAAATAGGTCACAGGAAAGTAGCTTCAGTGGGATACTTCTGAGGAAGTCCTGGAGGTTAAGAAAGGGGTACGGTTTGGCCTATTGTGTTGTATAACGTTCTGGTGTCTTCATCTTCACCCTGTTCGCTCCATCTCAGGGAACCTATGTTCATCCTACCACAGGCTGCTTCCCCTTCCTTCCTGCATTTGATTAGTCTGGGGGAGAGCGCTCTCTCTTGAGTTACCTCTCAGCAAAGTCCTAACAATGGGCACAGTTAGGTCATCATCTGAGGGGTAACCAGATTCAGGGGTTTGGACTTGGCCATTGGACAGCCCAAGTGCCTTTCTTGTCAAAACTTTGTTGATGCATCACTTTCTGGTGGAATCTGGAGCCGTAAAAATACTGGTGCTTATATAAATAAATAAAGGGCTTACTTAAAACAAATTAGACTCCAAGATCAGTTTACTTTGATCTGTGGGAGAAGAGCCCAGTTCTTACTTCCAGAGAGTTAACGTGTCAGGGCCCATTGGCAGATTCATGGGCGCCAGGGTTGTGAGCTCACCTTGAAGACGACCGCCAGGAGGTGCACAGGGAGACTTTCTAGGTCCACCATGCCTCCTGAGTTGAGCTCCTCCTTGAGCTCTTTGCGAGCTTTCTCGTTGGCTGCTTTCCTGAATATCCATTCAGTGGAAGGGCCTTTCAGGCACAGAATTGTGAGCATATCCTATCAGAAAGAGGCATAGGAATAGGACATGGTTACCCTTGGTTTGAAGGCACACTTTGCTACCAATATACTAAAAATCTATGTTTAGGTAGGAGAGAGAAAATTAAAATAATGCATATGTACAGTAACTATCTTTACCAGTCATAAAAATCCTGTCCATAAATGTTAGTTCTCTATGGTACTAAGTTAGTCTGAACAGGAGACTATTAATGCCAGTTTTTCCTTTCAGTCTGGTTGCTACCAACTGTCTTCCCTCAACCATGCCATTTTTCTAAGAGAAGGTAAAATGTGAAAGCTCTTATTTTGCACATTCTAAAATTATTTCAGGCCTCTCTCCTTTTGAATCATTCCATATAAACGTTGGATTTCTAATCATATATGCTGTATCCTATTTCTATCTGCTGCTTCTTCAGTAGCCATACATTTTCAGCATTCTTAACTCCATGAAGTCAGGATAGAGTGACTATCGATCTGAGCTTATTTACGAGTACAACTAATTTCTAGAATGTAAACAGCCAGATATTCTCCTGACTGCATTTATTAGGTGAAAACACCATTTCTAAAAGTGGAAAAAATCTAAAGATTGGCCCCAACAAGTTTAGCATGAGAATGACATTCAGATTTCCTAAGGATTTTTCACATCTGATAGAAAACTGAAGTGGGTATACAAGTAAATGTGTGCCTACCTGAATGGGTCTGGGGAGCGTGCCATCATCACCACAGATAATTGACAAGGGCTGATCAAATAGTGATGTTTTCAGTTCTGTCTCTGAAGCCCCAGAAAAATCTGACAAAGTAGAAAGCCTTTTCATGAGGGAGGGCCAGGACAGCACCTTCTTTCTCTTCTTAACTTCTGCAGCCAAGAAACCAAAGCAAAGAGAAAAATTAGGTTAAAATATTAATAAACAAAGATCCATGTAAGACAATAGATATCTCATCCACCTAGGGTCATCTATAGTGTGCCACATGGGGGAAACACTTTTGAAAAACTGAGAAAGCAAAGGGCATGAATCTTAATCTAGAAAAATCAACCCAGAAAACCACCACGTTGTTACCGGGGCAACCAGCCCCTAAACATCAACACCAAGGCTCCTCAAAGCCTCCACCTTTCCTGTTTTTACCCTTCACTAGAAGTTTGCTGCAGAAAGTTGGCAAAACCTAACTGCACGTCATAAACAACCATGTTGACATATTGACCTTCATAACTGTGGTAGATATTTTGATGTGAAATATAGTATTTTAATTTCCTCCTTTGACTAGTGAGGAAAACAAAACTTTGAAGAAGAGGAAGTGACTTGCTCAACATCGTTTTGAAGGTACTTAACTGGGCAGGCCATTAAGCCTCTGCGGCCACACCACCACCAACCCGCCACTAGAGGGAGCTACATTCAGCCTGTCTGCAGTCACTTTCAGGGTTTGGAGGTGGCTGCGTTAGGACAGGGCCCGCTCAAATTGCTGCAGGAAGGCTTGAGCTTAGACTTGGCTTATTGGGAATTATTAGTCAACATTACCAAGATATTCTGTCCTTGCAAAATGCTGAAGACGTGTGTGCGATGGATACTGGCTCTCACAACTTTCCTTCTTTCTTCCCTTTCTCTCTTTCCTCTTTTTTTCCTAATTATAAAAGCTATATTTTCTGAATACATTGGCATATGTTTCTGCACGTTTTATACTAGCAAGTGGAAGAGGTTGGCTGGAGAAGTAGCTTGTCCTTCTAGTTCAGGAGAGCTGGGTCAGGGTTACTAATGAAAGGCGCTATGAAAAAAATGAAGAGTGAACGGTGGGTTCTTTGAAATTTGAGCCCAGCAACAATTGCTTCATGGGCTCTTAGATTCACTCTCTATCAGAGAGGGAAGGAAATGGAAAAGGCATCGTGTAGTTTTCGTGCATATGCATGCTTTAATTGTCAAAACATAAATGGCCAGGAGACCTATAACCCCGCTAAGAATGGAGGGCTGGGGGTTGACCGCAGAGAGGATCTGTCCTATCCCAGTTCTCTGATTCTCGGGTGAGCTAAAGCCTGCCTGCCATGTAAGTGTTAACGTTCTGTGGTCTTTAAAAGAGCATGTATAAAGCAAAAATTCCTAGTAGAGGAAAGTACTGCGGTTTTGCAAACCAAGAACATTTGTTGTTAGCAGTTCTATAAAAGACCAGTATGTTTTCAAAACTCACCAGTTAGCTGGCTGATACTATCTTCGCTCTCACTTGATGCCAACAGAGGATGGTCCTTGATATCGCCCTAAAAATACGTTTATTTTAGTTCAAAATATGACTGAAGGAATCTACCCAGTTTTTCTCCACAAAATACACATGTAACATTTTATTCACACTAAAAATGAGCCAATAGAGCCCACTGATTTTTTTTGCCAGCTTCTAGAATCAGTATTAAAGTCTTGACTGTCATCATATGAGATCCTCATTCATGTGCTTAATTTACTGCATTTATGACATTAATTTTCAACTCTGATAATTAAATAAACCAAACAATATTCAATTAAAACAAAGCTTTCCATCTTCTCACAGTGCAGATAAAAGCTTTAAAAAATTGCTTTCTTACCTCTGATTGACATTCGATTAATGTCTCCATATTTTTGGTGTTTAGTGTTTTTGACTACAAGAGAAAAAAATTAAATTAGGTAAACACCTTTGACTCTTGGCTCTAGAAAATAGGAATTAATAAATAGAAGAGGGACACATACGGCATTGCAGCTGCTTATCAACTTCATCAGAACCTTGGCTGACTGTCCAGTGATGAATTTCCCTCCGCGTGGCCTCGGCTCTGCCTACGAGAAATCATATGGCAAAGAGTTAGGAGGGACACACGTGATACGTTGGCCAATTTCAGTGCCTCGGCCAAAACACAAAGTTTGAAACTATTAGGTAGAAAAGTTTTCATTTAAAGTACAGTTGTATGTTACCAGATGTCCTGTGCTATCAGAACCGCATCTGAATACACTTACTTCTAAATTAGTTAACCTGATATCATCACCTTGACAAACTGTTATTCATTCATTACATTCACATGGAGAGACAATCTAACAAGTACGATGACAACTAACATTTGTTTGGAGCGCTCGCTATGTGTCAGGTATTGCATTAAGAGCTTTGCATGAATTTGCTCATCTAACCCGAAAAGGAAAAAACCCTGCTCCCAGGATGCAACTTCTGATAGACAAAAAACAAAGATAACATTTACAGAATTCTTCTATCCCATAAGTGCAGGCTTCCCATTGAAGCAAAGCTTCCCGTGTGCAGAGTCTTTAAAACGCTGTTGACTATTCTCTAGCTGTTTTCTGTTGGCTATGATCTGAAAGACCAGTGACCGGCCGGGCAGCTTACTTTCTCGTCTTGTTAATTTATGGTACTTACCCTCGGGGCCTCCAGCCAGATTCTTTTACCTCCTGCCAGCTGTGTGAAATGGGAGAGACCGCATGACACTCTGTTCTTACTAATCCACCGGCACAGAGGAGACGGAGCTGCTCTGACTGCGGGTGTTCTGCATTATAAGCGAGGGGGCGGGCAGGTGGAAATTCAGAATACTCTGGGGCCGGAAAGAACAGCGTGGGCTGTCACACAGACACCCCAGAGCGCTCACTTCCTCATTCCTTTTAGGGCAGATCTGGTTTTTTGTTGTTTTTTTTTCTTCTTCTACTTAAAAGTAAAAAGTCTGTAACCTACTAGGGGTGGAAAAGATGACATATGGCCATAGGTGAAGGCTCTGATTAATGTCACAGGTGGGATGTGTGAATAGAAATTGTGTTATTCTGTACGTAAACATCATTTTATTTTCTGAAGTGGTGATTTCAGGTGCCCTTTCTTTGTTTTCCTTTCTGTATCCTGTTTGTGTGCTGTGTCCCCTCTCACCCACCATCACCTCTGTTCCTCAGTTACCATACATCGATTAGCACTCTCTAGGTGCAGGATGTTAGCATTCCAAGAAACCCAAGACATGCCATGGAAAACTGGTCACCGTCCAAAGCCAAGCCTGTTTCCTTTGGAAGTAGGAAGAGAGTCTGCTAGAGCCAGCTGCCAACATATTACCCCTCCTCCTTTCCCTAACTACTAGTCCAAATTATTAATATTTAATTCATAGATCAGCTCTAATCCTGACATGGAGGGAAAACAAAATATTCCTTTGATTAGACAAACTTCAAGTAGAAAGGAGATGGTGAATTTCATCTGTGACTCCCTCTTTCTGGATCACAGAGAATGTCTGGTCTTTTGTATGGCTAGAAGGCTATATACGAGATGACTCAAAATACCCCCCCCAATAGAATGGACACACAAATTGGTAAGTGTTATACAGCACGGAGAATGCGTAGCCTAAAGTTACATTCAACCATATGTTTGGATCTCACAAAATAATGTTGAACGAAAGAAAGAAAGAAGCCAGACCCAAAAGGCCACACGTTGCATGCAGAGTTTAAAAACACAAAAGCAATCTGTGCTCTTAGAAGCCCGAGTAGCAGTTTCCCGGGGAGGGGGCGGGGCAGGAAGTGACCCCGAGATGTGCAGAGGGGTTTGTATTGGTCCAGCTCTTGATTGGGGCGTTGTTAGTCTTATGTGCACATTTCTGGATGTATGTTATTCTTCAACCCAAAGTTTAAAAATACCCTGACTTAATTCATGATCAGCATCTTTCATTCTAAGACTTTTTCATATTGATAGCTCTACTGTCTTTATACAGACAGGTCATGATTAGCATACTTTGGGAAACTGAGGCACAGAGCAGTTAAAATTCCCCCATAACTGACTGTTTCCGTGGGTGACCTAAGAACAGATCCTGGCTGTCAGATTTCAAGGTGGAGGCTCCCTTTCTTAAAACTGCCAAAGTGTGGGTTCACCAGTGTCCCCAGGGCATCTGGACATGTTACTGTTCTTTTATTGTCCCTCTCCTGCCTTTACAAACCACCAAAATGAACTCATTTATTTTTTTTTAAATTAAAAATGGCATTTATACTGTATCTACCCTTGGAGCAGGCACATAGTAGGCATTTAATAAATAATTTCTGAATAAATACATTTACTTATAAATATTACTATATATATCCCTAAAATATGTATTCTTTGCTGATCTACATTTCATAAATTTTTTTCATTTGACATGGTTTTTGAGTTCTTCTAAGAAACTTAAATGTTTAGGCTGCTCTTACAACTAAAGCACGTCCTCACTCGAAGTATTTCCCTTTTAAAAAAAATGAAGATCACATTTTCTCTAATCCTCAGGGTTTCTTCTATCATGCACTATACACATTCTACCAGTGATTTAAAAACTGGTTTTGTTTGCTATGGAATTCTATATTCAATGGAAGATAACGAATCTAGAATCCTGAAAAATAGAATGTAAAAAATATGTATTTTTTAATGGTCTGTAGTGGGAGGACGGTGGGGAAGGCATGGGCCCGTCCATGTTGCCTCTTCTCCTGACAAGCCCAGTCTGGGGCGTTTTTGAAGAAACTTTCAGAATCTCACGGGTTAGGTCTGTATCAGCAGTTCTCAAAGAGCTGGAGCCTGGGGGTCCCTGAAACCCTTTCAGGAGAGCCCAAGGGGTCAGAACTACTTTTATAATAATACTAAGATGCTATTTGCCTTTTTAAACTCTATTCTCTCCAGGGTATTCATGGAGTTTTTCGGGGGCTTCATGACATGGGGTGCTCTGATACTGCAGGGATGCAGCCTCGTGTCACCTTGTGCTTTGCCGTTTCCTCAGCTTTCATTTCTCCTAAGGTACATATTGGTACATTAGCTTACATAAATTAAAGCTCTCTAGAGTTGTCAATAATTCTGTTAAAAAGGGTTCCTGAAACCAAAAAGCTGGAGAACTGCTGATCAATATCATAATTTTGCATGTGAGAAAATTCCATATACTTGCAGTGTACCATTCACCTATTCTTTTCACCCTTATAGCCATAGCCACTTTCAATGAAAATTATTTTCAAAGTGTATGGTGTGACGGTCCATCCCTGTACATTGCAGAGTTTATTGATAGTTTTGACATGCCGTAGAGTGAAGAAAGCATTCTTTTTTTTTTTTTTTTTAAGATTTTTATTGGGGCTGTGGAGGGCAGTGTCACTGGCCCTCATATGTGGGATCCGAACCGGGGCCCTCTGGCGTCCCAAGCCAGTTCTTAACCATCGTGCCACTAGGCCAGTCCAAGAGCATTCTTTTCTGTTCATGTAAATCCGCTGCACTGCGATTTTCTCCTCTTCAGGGCAGCTCTGTGCCCGCAGTGGTCCTCACCCCTCTCCTCATTTCTAAGCCTCATGGTCTTTGTGGTGGTGTCTTTACTTCTCCTCAGCTCCTCTAACGACACAGACGTCCCTCACTATAAACTCAGCCATCAACGTGTGGCTATGGGGAAAAATGAGGAAGTCAGTCCAATACAAGAAAAGTGCCATTTCCCTTTGGATATGTAATTCTAAAAATTTTTGAACTTTTAGGTGAGATT